TAGCATTGAAGACGCATGTACAAGGGTCTATATGTACATAACAGCAAACAAAAAGCTAATGTGTCTCCATACACACACAAAGTATTTAATATACATACTTACAACTGATAAAAATATACTAGCAAGAGCAGCAAAAGCAAAACACACTTTTGCTGTCTCCATAAATTTTTTTGTCTTGTCTACTATTGCACCTGCAACAGCTGCTCCCAAGACACCAGTACCAATCAGCAAAGCACCATAAATACCAATCATTTGCTGCAGTTTAGATGAAAAGAAATAAATGCATACAGTAGTGGGAGCTCTAACATTGCAGGAATGATAACAATATTAGAAACCATTATTCTACATTCCAAAGTAGTAAAAAGACATTGGATTTGTCTTTCTTTATTGAGTTTCTATGTGCACTTTGGAGTAGTGGTACTATTTCAGATTGCACATTTTTATGTTCAAACCAATGTTTCAGTTTCCAGCAATCCAGTGTAGATTTATAAAAAAAAATGACTATTCATCTTGCCTGTAAGAAGATTTTGAATACACATAAACCAGAATCTGATGATAACTTACGTCTTTGTATCCTTGAGGACAGAGTATCTGCTCAAATAGAGTACTTAAACTGCTAAATAAAGCAATTCCACATCCAAAACACAATGCCAGAATTAAGTAAGGTTTATTGTGAATAATCTGTAGGTGATAAAAAAACAAAATTCAGTGTCAATAAATAATTATTTTTTTTATTAGAGATTCGCAAAATGACTGCACAACCAAACAGAGCTATCATTGACCCATCTACATCATTTGACAACACAGAAATGCTTCACTGCTAGACAGTATACATACTGAAAAGAGAATAATTGATAATAAACTTACTTTTTTAAGACCTTGAAAGAATGGCTCATGTGGATCAGCAGCACTAGCTGAGGGTGGAGTTGGGGGGACACTGTTACAAAAACCAAATGTTGCCATCAACATAGCCAATGCTGCTGGCACACAGTATATGTACAACTATCAAAATAAAGTAATATAAGTCAATTAATT